ACGGATTATTAGTTACAGCCTTAAACTATTCGTGGTCTTAATTACCCCCTCAACTTGGCCTTTTGAGAGCCATTACCCCCTGGACGCTGATGTGGCAAAGAGTGTTGGTGCACTCGCCTGCCACGTGGATTTTTCTGTATAAGTGGCATTTTTTTGAAAAATAAATATATTTTTACCTTTTTAAGTATGTTACTTTTTTAGATAATTTTTTTTGAATACAATTTATAATAAAACTTTGATAAAACTACATTATTCAGGCTAATTTTTTTTATTTGGCTAAAAATAATAAAGTTTTAGTTAATCTTTTTTTGAATCTGACCTAAAAATAAAGATTTATACAATTGAAATAAATAGTCAAGGCATCTAAAAAGTTATAAAAATACATAGTTTGAAATATGTATTTTTATAAATCTTTATTTTCAGGTCAAATTCAAAAAAAGATTGACTAAAATTTTATTATTTTTAGCCTAAATTCTTTTATTTTTTAAATCTTTAATTTCAGGTCAAATTCAAAAAAAGATTGACTAAAACTTTATTATTTTTAGCCAAATAAAAAATTTAGCCTAAATAGTCTAGTTCTATCCAAGTTTTATTATAAATTGTATTCGAAAAAAATTATCTAAAAAAGTAACATTCTTAAAAAGGTAAAAATATATTTTATTTTTCAAAAAAATGCCACATATACAGAAAAATCCACGTGGCAGACGAGTGCACCCCGCACGTTTTGCCACATCAGCGTCCAGGGGGTAATGACTCTCAAAAGGCCAAGTTGAGGGGGGTAATTAAGACCACGAATAGTTTAAGGCTGTAACTAATAATCCGTATCAAGTTTAGAGGGGTTTTAAGGTATTTTGCCTTTTCTTTTTTGTATTGACGATTTTTTAGTTATTAAAAGTAGGGTGTCTTCCACGCTCAAGGGTGTGGCTTAATGGTCAATGAAGTGGGTGTGGGACCAGGGATCAAATCTCAGTAGGAACAAAAAACATTAGATGATTTCTTCCCATCTGCCTTAGCCTTGGTGAGCGGAGTTATCTATCTGGTCAAAGTAATCTGCTATCCTGTGTCTTGTAATTTTATTCTTTTCTTGTCTATTCCTTGACCCCTTGGAAAAAACTGAAGGAAATACTATATTGCGCTGTCATCAACAATTTCTTTTCTTTTAATTTTTTGCTGTTATTGAAATAACTGTAGTTGTTGCACCTTTAATGCACATGTGATATAGTGTTGCTGAATATTGTTTTTCTTTTTACCTTATAGGTTGTTTATTTTCTTTTTGGAACTTAACCTCGATTAAAATTTCAGGTACTCGACCGTGACAATGCAAACACAAGTGATCTCATGAAGTACATATTAAGTTATGCAAGTAAACCCACCGTTTCTTCAGAAAAGAACTCTCTCTATAGCAGGGAACTTATAGAATCATCTTGCCGGAATCTTCTGCTTGAGTTGGTTGAAGCGAGCTGTGGAGCTCCACCGGTGAACCTGCCTTCTCCAGAGCAATATCAGTTTTCAGGTAGATATGGACAAACACCAAGGCCTATTAGACAAAATCTTGTAATGAAGAGAGGCGACTGGATATGCCAAAAGTATGTACATACAATTGTCTTGTTCTTGCCTTTCTTATTTCTAAAATTCTTGTTTTTAGTTTGTTGTCCATTATTTCAGTTTTGTGGCCTCATATTTTTTGAGACAAAGACAATCCCGCTTCTAGTGATCCTTNCATGGAACAGGCAAACAATAGTAGCTTTGTCCCATTTGTTCCATTCCCTCCTGGCTACTTTGCGAAAAAGGACACACAACAGGCAGATAACGCAGATTCTTCCTCTGTGTCTAGGGTTGAAACTTCATCTATATCCAGCAACTCATATCACAAGGGATCACCCTTGAATCCTCTTTCCAAAACCTATTCTGAGACGGCAGATGTAGAGAAGACACATCAAAAGTCAGATGATTCTGGATATAAGTTCACAGATATGAACACTGTACAAAGAACTGATGATCGATTTACAAGCTCAAGGTTTGTAAGTTCAAATTTCTCTGGAGATCAGGGGTTCCCTCGTATTAGAAACATAGGTGAGACTTCTCTTGCTTCCGATGCTTCAAGCACTGATAGTAGTGGCAGTAGAAACTCGGTGATAGATGATGTATCCCCTTCTGAGACTGTGGGAGTGGGTTCACCCCAGCTGCCTGGAAACCAGAATATCAGAAGTGGATGGACAGGAAACAGCTTGGAAGGGTCTGCTGTGAAGGACCCAGATCCCTTGGACATGTCTGAAGAAGCCAAAGCTGAGAGGTGGTTCCGCCGTGTTGCTCAGATAAAAGACATTTCTGAATTGAGTCAGATACCAGATGAAGGCTTCCCATCGATAATGCCAATGCGCAAGGGGGTTAACAGGTTTGTGGTGAGTAAGCGGAAAACTCCTATTGAGAGAAGGTTGACATCTACTCAGTACCGGAGAAATCTTCCCGTCGTAAGTTCTGATCCCATGAAAAGAGAAAGCGACATTAGTGAAAAATGAACCAACACAGACACCGCGCCCAAGTTTCTGCAGGCAAATTTTTGTTCACTTGATTTTTCTCAGAGCATTCAAGCTAAGCATCAGCATGCACTTGCTGTACGTGTAATCAATAAATAATGAACTAAAAATGTGTAACTTCGCACAGATTTTATTGTGGCTTATTCAGTGTAACAAATTGCATATACGAATGAAAGCCAACAGATACTGGTTCTTAGGTGTATGATGTATCTCTAGTTCGATTGGTGGTCTTCGGCTTTACCATTTGTGCCCTTGTTGATTTAGAGATCTGGACTAGTTCTTTTTTACTTTCACAAGTCATATAATGTGAAAATTGTTAGACATGACATTTAGCATTTGCAATACGTTTTTATTACATTTTTATCGCAATCATTTTCAAAAACCTGTAGAATTGGTTTATAAAAATAAAATTTTATATTGATGTGATGACGATAATTCTAGCTGTAGTTTCACATGTGTTTGGCAAAACTTATAAGTTGGTCAAACTGGCTTATAAGCAGTTTTTAGTTTATCTACGCATTTGGTAAATTCTAAATGTGCTTATAGCCAAAATAACCCAAAAGACATAAGTTGGTCTCCTCCAACTTATGAATTTTCAGCTTATAAGCATTTTTAGTTTGACCAATAATTTTACTATTTTATCCCCAAAATTACCATTTTTGAATGTTCGACCACACTCCGTTTCCACGACTTCGTTCCACCCTTTTCTTTTCAAGACCAGCAATACTTTCATTTTCTTCGTAATGTTTTGGATGAGAAACCTCTCAGAAAATCTTCCAATATCTGAATAGTGCGCTCGGACTGTCCGTCCGTCTGAGGGTGAAATGATGTACTCAATTGTACTTGTGTGCCTAACTCTCGCTGCACTGCTCTCCAAAACTGTGATGTAAACTACGTGCCCCGATCTGAAATGATGGACACTGGCACACCGTGAAGGCGAACAATCTCGCGGATATAAATCTCAGCCAACCGCTTCGAAGAATAAGTGGTACCAACTGGAATAAAATGCGCGGACTTGGTCAATCGATCCACAATCACCCAAATAGCATCAAACTTCCTCAAAGTCCGTGGGAGCCCAACTACGAAGTCCATAGTGATACGCTCCCATTTCCACTCTAGAATCTCAAGTCTCTTAAGTAATCCACTCGGTCTCTGATGCTCATACTTCACATGCTGACAGTTTAAACACCGAGCTACAAACCTTACTATATTTTTCTTCATTTTCCTCCACCAATAAAGCTGCCTCAAGTCCTGATACATCTTTGTGGCACCCGGATGAATGAAATACCGCGAACTGTGGGCCTCCTCAAGAATTAACTCACGCAACTCATCTGCATTTGGTACACAAATCCGACCTTGTATCCTCAATACCCCATCATCTCCAATAGTAACATCTTTGGCATCACCGTGCTGAATTGTGTCCTTAAGGACAAGCAAATGGAGATCATCATACTGGCACTCTATGATGCGGTCATGTAAGGAAGACCGAGAAACTACACAAGTTAGAACCCGACTGGGCTCCGAAACATCTAATCTCACGAACCGGCTGGCTAAGGACTGAACATTTGAAGCAAGCGGCGTCTCACCAACATGAATAAGTGCAAGGTTGCCCATGCTCACTGCCTTTCTACTCAAGGCATCAGCCACCACATTGGCCTTCCTGAGATGATACAAAATAGTAATATCATAGTCCTTTAATAACTCCAACCATATGCGCTCAAATTTAAATCCTTTTGTTTGAATAAATGTGGAAGGCTCTTTGATCTGTAAATACTTCACAAGACACACCGTAGAGATAGTGCCTCCAAATCTTTAATGCATGAATAATAGCTGCCAACTCCAAATCATGAACATGGTAGTTCCTTTCATATGGTTTCAACTGGCGCGAAGCATAAACAATCACTCTACCCTCATGCATTAAGACACATACAATACCAATCTGAGAAGCATCACAATATACATTATAAGAACCTGACGCTAAAGGCAAAACTAGAACTGGGGCTGTGGTCAAAGTAGTCTTGAGCTTCTGAAAGCTCTCTTTACACTCATCCGACCACCTGAATGGAGCACCTTTCTGGGTCAATTTAACCATAGGCGTTGCAATAGATAAGAAACCCTCCACAAAGCGACGATAATATCCGGCCAACCCGAGAAAACTCCGAATCTTAGTGGCTAAAGATGGCCTGGACCAACTTTGAACTGCCTCAATCTTCCTTGGATCCACCTTAATTCCCTCACTGGACAATATGTGTCCCAGGAATGCAAACGAACTAAACCAGAACTCACACTTGGAGAATTTGGCATAAAGTTTCTTCTCCCTCAGCCTCTGTAGTACAATACTCAAATGTTGTGCATGTTCCTCCTGGTTTCGTGAATATACCAGGATATCATCAATAAATACTACGACAAACGAATCAAGATATGGTTGGAATACACTGTTCATCAAGTGCATGAATGTTGCTGGGGTGTTGGTCAACCCAAAAGACATCACGAGAAATACATATTGACTATAATGGGTCCTGAATGTCGTCTTTAGAATATCCGAATTTTCAACTGGTGATATCCGGACCTCAAATCAATATTGAAGAATACCCTCGCTCCCTGAAGCTGGTCAAATAGATAATCAATACGTGGCAAATGATACTTGTTCTTGATTTTAACTTTATTCAACTGCCTGTTGTCGATGCACATCCGCATAGTACCATATTTATTTTTCACAAACAAAACCGGTGCACCCCAAAGAGACACACTAGGCCTAATAAACCCATTACCAAGAAGTTCCTGGAGTTGCTCTTTCAATTCTTTCTATTCAGCTGGTGCCATACGATATGGAGGAATAGAAATGGGCTGAGTGCCCGATACCAAGTCAATACTGAAATCAATATCCTTGTCGGGTGGCATACCTGACAGGTCTGCCGGAAACACATCGGGAAAGTCTCGCACTACCGGAACAGAGTCAATAGTAGGAGTGTCAATATCAACATCTCTCACAAAAGCCAAATATGATAAACGCCCCTTCCCAACCATTAGTTGAGCCTTTAAATATAAAATTACCCTGCTGGGAACATAATCTGGAGAACCTCTCTATTCGACCCTTGGTAACCCTGGCATCGCCAACGTAAGGTCTTAGCGTGACAATCCAGAATAGCATGACATGAAGACAATCAATCCATACCCAAGATCACATCAAAATCGACCACACTGAGCAGTAAAAGATCAACTCTGGTCTCCAATCCCCCAATGGTTACCATACACGACCGATACACACGGTCCATAATAATAGTATCGCCCACCAGCATAGATACATGAACAGGTGAGATTAAGGACTCACGGGGCATTTCCAAAGAACGAGCAAAATATAATGAGACATACGAATATGTTGAACTAGGGTCAAATAATATAGAAGCATTCTGGTGGCATACTGAGACAATACCTGTGATTACTGTGTCTGAGGCAACTGCATCTGGTCTGGCAAGAATAACATAGAATCTAGCTTGACCCCCACCTGATCTGCCTCCCCCTCTAGGGCGACCACTAGTTGCATGTGCCCCACCCCATGCTGGTTGGGCGGGTGGGGAATAACTGGTGCGGGGGCCACAGTCTCTGCTGAGCTGGACCTCCCGAAAGGCGGGGACAATGTCTATTTATATGACCCAAACCTCCACACTCAAAACAACACCTCTCTAAAAATGTCGGCAAGTATTGATGTGGGCCTTGAGAACCAGAATAACTACCAGAAGAACCTGGTACAGATGAACCCTAAACTGATGGTGCATGAGATGAACTCTAAGCTAGAAGTGCACTAAGAGACAACTGACTCAGTAGAGCATTGTATGAACCATGGCTAGCTGATATGCCAAGATGAGTTGAACGAGCCATCTGAGCGGGCCAATAAGGTTGACCCCTGCTATGATAAGGTTGTCCCCCAAAAGGAACACCTCTGGAATTATCCAAACCACGAGACCTTTTGGCCTCCTTCTCCTCACGCTCCTGAATACGTACCATTTCTAGCCGTTCAACACTGTCAACCACCTCATCGAACTTAACACCTGCTACATTCCCCATAGTCATAACAAAATGAAACTGTTGGTTGAGGCCATTAATGAACCTCATAATCTTTTCCCTCTTAGTGGGAACCAACCAAATTGCATGACGAGCCAAGTCTAAAAACCTCATCTCATACTGTGTAACAGACATGTCCTCCTTCCGGAGCTTTTTGAACTGCCTGCGCATCTCCTCTCTGCGGGTGTGTGGCACAAACTTCTCCAAAAAGAGAATGGAGAACTTATGCCATGAAAGTGGTGATGCACCAACTGGTCTGCTCCTCTCATAAGCCTCCTACCATCTGAAGGCTGCCCCGGTCAGCTGAAAGGTAGTAAATGAGACCCCACTGGTCTCCAGAATACCTGCTGTACGAAGAATCCACTGGCATCTGTCCAAGAAATCCTGAGCATCCTCTGTCTCAGTCCCACTAAATGATGGAGGATGGAGTCTCCAAATCTCTCTAATCTCTCTTGCTCTTTGTCATTCATAATAGGACCCACCTGGGCGTGAGCAGCTGCAAACGGTTGGGCTGGTTGTACCCCCGGTATCTCGAGTTCCTGCACTACTTACTCTGGAGTACGGGCGACTGGGATATGAGTACCTCCCTCAGCTTGAGAAGTTTTAGGTGCGGCCTGAGCTGAAATCACCTGAGCAAGGCGAGTGCAAACAGTCAATATTTGGGCCAAAGCCTCCTGAAGGCCTGGAATCACAGTAGGCATAGCTGGAGTCTGAACTGGTTCCACCGGCTCAACTATATTTGGAACCTGCTCCTAAGCTGGAGCAATTGGTGGGCCAACAGGTGTTGCTCTAGCTGCACCTCGGCCTCTACCGCGGCCCTAGCCTCTGCTACGACCCTGACCTCTCGTGGCCCTAACTAGTGGTATTGGTGGCTGGCCACCCGATCCGGTAGTACGTGTCCTCACAATTTGTGAGAGAATAGAATAATAGAATTTTAGTTTCTGGAATCAACACATTCGCATGACAAGAATACAAGAAAGCAAAATGTTTCCTAAGGATTCGACAGTCTCTCGAAGATAAGCATAGACGTCTCCGTACCGATTCGCAAGACTCTACTAAATCTGCTCATGACTCGTGAGACCTATGTACCTAGGCTCTGATACCAACTTGTCACGACCCAAAATCTCACCTGTCGTGATGGCGCATATCTCAATTCTAGGCAAGCCGACAGCCTCAATAAATCACAGATTTCTTATAGTTTGAAAACATAATAATTGGATTTAACAGAAAATTCCACAATTTCTGATACAAATAAACTCCCGAA